ATGTTGTTGGGGAGGCTGTGGATGATGTGATGGTGATGATGGTGATGATGATGATGATGATGGTGGTGATGATGGTGATGGTGGTGATGATGGTGATGATGGTGATTGTGATGATGGTGATGGTGATGATGATGATGATGGTGATGACAGTGATGATGATGGTGATGATGGTGATAGTGATGATGATAACTTCATAAACATCTTGTTAGTCTTTCAAGTGCCCATTTGTTATGAGCTGCAGACGAGCGTTTGCACGGCAAGCACCTTTAGAGATGGGTCATGAAAGTGACCGGCCGTGATTCAAAGGCGCAAACCCGTTCATATGCTGCGTCTTTTCCAGGAACAGATCATCGCAGGTCATCCTGGGGGCTCACTCCCAGTCCAAGCAGGAGCCGGAGAAGCAGATCATGTCGGTGAAGAAGCAGATCCCCTTTCCGCATTATAAAAAGAACAGGCACGAGGGCGACCTTCAACTTCTGAAGGCACGTACCTTTGATTTCCTTTCAGTTGACTCCAACGTCACAGGACCTCCTACCATCTGGCCACCTGCGTGGTGAGCCTTCTCGGTGCCCCGATAGCTGCAGACTGTAGCTATGGGAGGGGGCTCCTAGGGTTATGAGCATGCCAATATTTTATGATCTCATTCTTTTAACTCTTTATGCTTTCTTCCCACAGCTGGGGCGAAAAGCAACAATTAATAGACATGTGGCTATTCTCAGTCTCCCAAAACGGGGGGAAGACGTAAAACCAGGAACCAAGTGCCGTGTGGCAGGCTGGGGGATGATTCACAATAGCAAGCTATCTGCATCCGATACGCTGAGAGAAGTCTGGGTCACCGTCCTGGACAGGGAGACCTGCAACGGCCCCAAATACTACGGCCATAACCCTGTGATCAGACGGGATATGATCTGTGCTGGAGACCGCAGAGGCGGGAAAGACACGTGCAACGTAAGTGAAAGACGACCCCTCACTTTGGCTGTTGGGTCAAGTTGTGTAGAAATAGAAAAGGCAACGTTACGCTTAGTTCTCTCGTCACGCTGAGCCCTCTCGTCACGCTGAGCCCTCCCGTCACGCTGAGCCCTCCCGTCACGCTGAGCCCTCTCGTCACGCTTAGTCCTCTCGCGGCCATGGCTTCCGCTAAGGGGGTTGTTTAGAAAAAAGGACAGGTTGGCTCCTAGTGCCTAGGTGGACTGTGGTATCTTCTGGATTTTATATCAAAGCCACCAGAGAAGCAATGGTTTTTCCCCCTCATGTTAACGTATGTCTGCCTAAATGTAGCCTTAGCCCGTTTGGCTCAGTGGATAGAGCTTTGGTCTGCGGACTGAAGCCAATAATGAGTCTCTCATCATTGATGTTTCTCTCTCTCTCCCTCTCCCTTCCTCTCTGGAGCATATATATATATATACTAGAGGCCCAATGCACGAAATTCATGCAAGAGTAGGCCTTCCTTTCCCTGGCCGCCGGCAGGCACCTGAGACCCGGGCTTTCCTCGCAGTCCCGACTTCATCTGGAAGGTCATCTGGAAGGACATCCTGAAGGACGTCCGGTCTAATTAGCATATTACACTTTTATTATAGATTTTAAGATATGTAACACTCAGAAGAGCCCTTCTGTGCCCTGCTCCCCACATCTCAGCACACCCCCAAAATGCCTCTGCCGTGTGCCCCGGCAGGTCTGAAAGGCCTGTCATTCCAAGCCAACTGAGGGCTCAGCGAGACTCCACAGCCTCCGGGACCCGAGCTCAGTCCCCAGGAAACAGCTTCCGAGCGTGGCCCACGGAGAAGGGACGGGTCAGGGCCCCGCGGGAGGAGGGAGGCAGGAGACGCACTTGCCGTGTTTGAACTCTGAGCGCTGACTCGTCACCTCCCACCTTTTCCAGAGACCCTGAGCCTCATCCAAGAGGAGAATGGGGTGTGGGATGTGGGAACCAGAGTCTGTCCCCCTTCCCGCTGCTTTTCGTCGTGAGAAGCTGACGGCCTTCCCTTCGGGACCAGGCTGGGCCAGTCCCGGGGGTGGGGGGTGGCACCTGCCCTCAGAGCCTTCCACTTCCCCTACCCCGCCCTCTCCTGCCCTCACCGCTGTGAGAACCACATGCAGCATCCGGAGACCCCTGCCACCTGCTCCCCCACACCCACGCTTAGTCATCCCTTGTCAGCGCTCAGGGCCGTTGGTGGATTCCACCTGAAGGACTCCTGGGACAGTCAGGCACTGTGTTAGGCGGGTGCCATGTATCTGTGCGGGGAGGACCCCGCTTCTCACAGGGCTCCTCACTTCACACCCTCCTAGGCCTGTTCTTACAGGAAAGGGAGGCCCCAAGGTCTAGGCATGGCCCTCCTGGCACCACCCGCCCAGACGCCGGGCCTCCTGTGACACGAGGCTGACTCTAGAATCCCCCGGGAGGACACACCGGGAGGCCCCGTGGGGAGGAGAGAGCAGGGCTCCCAGCCCCAGGAGCCTCCGCTGTGTAGGCTGAGCTGGACGTGCAATCCCTGAGGCCGGAGCCTCCATCCGCAGCCCTCACGCGGGAGGCGCAGGGAGAAGGGTGTCCACGGGAGAGGGTGACGGGACAGGCTTTGGTTTTCCTTCTTTGGGAAGACAGTTGTCCGCTGGAGAAACAAAAAACCATGGTTTCTGTTTTGTGCCTCAAATCCCATCATTTGACGATTTGACCCCGAGTTCTTCAGCTTTTGAGAAAATGACAAGCAGGAGAGTTCCTTTCCTAAAGCAGAGGCTGGATCTCAAAGTCACAGGATAACAGACAGCGGTACACGTTTCACTGTAACTCTCACTGGTCCGCACGTTAAGCCGATTTAAAAACATTAAAATATCCCCAGCGGTTGGGTTTTTAAGCGCTAACTTTCCATTAAGTGACGGTCGGTCTGAACTCCGCGTTCCGTGCTCGGTGCTCACAGCCCCTCCCCTCTTGTCTCACAGGGGGATTCCGGGAGCCCCCTGATCTGCGAGGGCACCTTCCGGGGCGTCACGTCCTTCGGGAAGCCAGGCAAGTGCGGGGACCCCCGGGGCCCTGGCGTCTACATGCTGCTCTCCCAGAAGTACCTCAGCTGGATCAGGGAGACGACGCGGAGGGCGGCTTAGGTCGCTGACCGCCGCTGCACTGGCTGCCGCGCCTCAGTCCTGCCAATAAAATCCCATCAATAAAATCACTTGCGCCCTGACTGGTGTGGCTCAGTGGATAGAGTGGCAGCCTGCGGACTGAAGGGGCCTGGGTTCAATTCCGGTCAAGGGCATGTATCTTGGTTGCGGGCACATCCCCAGTAGGAGATGTGCAGGAGGCAGCTGATCGATGTTTCTCTCTCATCGATGTTTCTAACTCTCTATCCCTCTCCCTTCCTCTCTGTAAAAAATCAATAAAATATATTTTTTAAAAAAATCACTTGCACGACTGCGCCGGGTCCTCGCCTGTCACTCCTGGGGGCAGGTCCCCGCCGGTGAAGCGAGGCAGGGCCACAGCCTGGCCGGGGAGGGGCCGGGGCGGGCACCCATGTTACCCGTGTCACCCATGTCTCAGGTGATACGCAGAGTCGGGGTTGGAAATGGCCGGAATAACCACCCACAGGAAACTCGGCCACTGCTGTGCGTCTGTGCGGTGGACTATTGCCCAGCGATGAAAGAGGGCGAGCTGCCGTCACAGGCAGCAGCATGAACTGACCGTACAAACGTGATGCTGAGCGGAAGAAGCCAGACGAAAAAGATGGTATTTTCTGAGTGACTCCATTTCTCTGAAGGTTGGCATCAGGCAAAACTAACCCAGGGAGGCAGGTTAGAATCGCAGAAGGGTGCCGAGTGGGAGGAGGAGACGGAGCGGGCAGGAGAGGGGAGGAGGACAAGGGGGGGAGGTAGCAGAGAGGAGGGGGAGGGTCAGAGACGGGTGTGGGACTCCCGCAGAGGAAGCAAAGTGCGTCCCTGAGCGAGAAGCCCAGAGCCGCACCCCCTCAGAAGGCCCCTCGTCCAGCCGGACCCTCGGCCTGCCACCTGAGTCTCAGTATGAGGCAATGCCATCGGGCTCTCGTAGGAAGCATGGGTTTAATCTAACACATGGCTCTGTCGCTTAGACGTGGGCACTCAGGGCCAGGGCTGGCAGCAGCGCCCCCCACAGGCCGGGCCGTCCTCTGCGGCCGCGCCATCAGGTGTCTGGGCTCAAGGCCATGCAGCGCCCAGCCTGGGGGCCGGTGGGAGAGGAGGCTGGTGGCCACTGTCCAGCTGGTGCTGAGGCTGGGAAGCCGCCGG